GTTTGTTTCATGTGCCTGCTTGGTTTTCTAGTTTTAGACTGCCTTTTAAATGATTCCTAATTTCCATTATATTTGATACATTTTGAAACACTATCAGTTTCTAGAATATTTATGCAAATGTGTCTTCTTAGTCCCCGAAAAATCATTTTAATTAAGTCCTTAACATACTTGCCATTGTTAATAGCAGAAGAAAGGAAATGCTCTCTTATGAATATCCAACAGGGAGTAACTAGTAATTCATGAAAGGTATTTTCCTCTACAACATAGTGAAGAAATTATTGGTGATTACCATTTTCTCTTTTCATTAGGTTTCTTACCTGCTTATGCTGAATATGCCTTTTATTTGCTGAGCAGTTCTGGCTCTATCACTTTATATGAAAGATTTCCCTTCTTCCCCATTTCATAAAAATTAAATTACTGTAACATGGAAGCTGAACAGTACAGACATAAGCAAATCAACTGCAGCACCAGCTTAGTCTCCATTTCCATCTAACCCCAAGCTTCCCTGCCAGCAAAATGGTCAATGGTGGGAGCTTTATCCAGGAGATTTCACTTAGTGCTTAAGGATTCCATAAATTAACATCTTCTGAACACTGCAGATATGACAGTCATGACACCAGTCATGACATTACTTCCATGCTGATTCTGACAGAAGTTGACATTTGGAAAGAACAGTCAAAATGATGGGCAGTGAAGAGCCCAAACCAGGCAATCAGGACTAAAGTGGCTCAACCTCACACAACTGAACAAGCAGGGTCAGACAAAGAACACTTCTGTTTTGACCCCCTCCGTGTTCAATATGGACTGAAAGTAAACCCTGAGCCCAGGATCTTTGGGTTGAGATGAATAATTTTGTTGCTTTGTTTACTTATATAAGAAAGGTCTAAACAACCACAGATTCATCTACATTGTCAGTTGCAGAATGTAATTGCAGCAGCACCCTAATACCTGAGCTAATTTGAGTAGTGACAGAAAGGAAGATACACAATTTCTCACTTCAGCCTAGGCCAATCACACAAATTCCTGGGATCCCAGACCTAGTGGAATCAGTAAAATCCCTAATTTTGTTGATCTTCCAAGTTTCCACAAACACTTGAGGCTGAATCTGTGTCACTCTTCTCAACATGAGGTGTTTGTTCTTATTCCAGGTAAAGGGTTAAATTCATTCTTCCAAGAACCAACTGCGTCACTTTTGTTTGCTCTGTTTCACTGCCTTGCTGTGCAAACACTTGTGCTGGCCCAGGGGAAAGGGGTAGGAACAAATACCTGTGCCTGGGGAAGTGGTGTGACTGCCCCTTTTCGAAAGCAGCTCCTGGAAGAACTGGAACCACCTTCTGTGCCTGCCACCTCTTAACACAGCCTTGTAATTTGTTTAAACTGGTAGGAGCCAGGCAGAGATCCCACTGCTCCCAGTGCCTGGTCCTTATGAAGGCTGGCTGCTCCCTAGGGACAGGGAAATAGATGGCAGCAAGCAGAGCAGGTGGCTCACCAGACACCCTCCACCTGTCCTGAAGTAAGGACAGGGCAAGCTAGGGGTGGTAGCCATGGTCAAAAGAGGTCATCAAGCAAGTTCATGACAATGAGGCAGGTCCAAGTCAGGCTGAGAAGTCAGTCTGGGTCAGATACAGCCCTGTGACTGACAGGCAGGTCTGTGATGCCAGAGCAGAGCTGAGGTCAAGCCAGGAGTGGTCCAGCCTTGTGATCCCCAGTCAGGACAAGAGAGAGGAGAGAGCCAAGGTCAGGCTGGGAAGTCAGTCATAGGTCTGAGGCCAGAACAATCCACAATGCCCAGATCAACAGGCACAGATACAGGCACAGGTATGGCTGTACAGGGTAGAAATAGGTATTGAATGTAAACAGAGCCTCTGGGCCCATGGGTAGGGCTGTGAGGCAGGCCAATAAAGGCTTATTAGTGTCATCAGGGTCCAGACAGTTCTACTCATTCCTCTTCTTGTGTCATGTTCCTCCCACCCTCCTCATTCTAGCTTAGCGCTTGTGAGGCTGCATGTGGAGTCAGAGCAGCTCAGGAGGAAACCAATCCTCTTGGTGAGGTTATTTCCCCACACTGCTGTGTGAACAGCAGAACTGGTGCTGTGGCGTTGGCTGGAACATGTGCTCAGGGCTGAGAATCAACAGACAGTGGTAGATGTGGCAGTGGTCTAAGTGGGGTCACTGCCACTTGCGAAACTACACTCAGAATCTTCTGGAATAGTACAGATATGAATTTTCAGATTACAATTACCTTCTAATGTAAGAATTGTGTATTGCAAGTGTCACTGCTCAAAAACATTATTATAGAATTAATTTTTAAATTTATATAGCTCTACTTGATGATCTATATGCAACTGGACTAGATGGCTGTTGTGGGTCCTTCCCAGCTGAAATATTGTATTCTATAGACACAGTTGTGGATAAACTTATATTTGCCTAAAAGTATTAGAAGAGAGTCAGTGTCTCTAAGAGCATAGTATGGGCTAGAAACATTAAAATAAAGGAGAACCAGTCACAAGGAAGAAGAAAGGGAAAAGGAAACAATATCCTTTTTTTTTTTTTTTTTTTAAATCAGAGCTTTTTTTTTTTTACCATATTTTGTGTAATAACCCAGCAATGGAATGCAAATTAACATTCATGGTTTTTTTAAACAATAGCCTTTGTGTTCTGAACCACACTGACGAAACAGAACAATACTAAAAGAACACGATCACAGAATCATTTTCCAGCAATGTGCAAAACAGTTTTGTTAGAAACATCTAACTGTGAGGGAATCTATTTTGGAAAGTAATAAGAAAGAGAAGTTGGAAGTCCAACTTCTCTTTACTCAGTGGAGAATATATTTCATTTTTTTCTCAAGCTGAATTTCAAACTGTTACATCACTGCAAATTCCATGAAGTCAGTATGATCCTAGGCTCTAGGTCTAGGCAGCCAGGCTGAGCAGATATAAGCAATGGCATAACTTAATTTCCAGAATTTTTGTTATCAATGAAAAATGCACTGATAAGCACAGTGCTTTACAGAGACCTGACCACTCACTGTGCTTGCAAATACAGAAAATGGAATGTATCACCTAAACCTATCACCTTTTGAGTTGAAGACACTGAGAGAGAATATTCATGATACTTGATGCCAGCTTTACTTCTGAGTAGGAACACTAAAAGGTAAAAATACATGTAAAAGCATGCTTTCTCCTGAAAAAATTTAAAATTTGGAAAACTAATCACACGACTGCAGTTACTGCTGGCAGATGTCAGCTCCTGTAGAAAAGAATTTATCTGCTGCCCTATTAAATTTCTGTGTAATCTCTATTTAGGCCCAATTACTGCTTTCAACCCACATAAAATATCCCAACCTATCTTTACATGCGGGCAGAAACACATGGCTTGAGAGGCCTTCCTGGAAGGTGTTGAAAAGCTTTGCAGGACTGTAGAACATCTGTCATGAAGATGTCACAAATGACTGGTACACATGCAGCGTTTGGCAGAGGTACTCCAAGTATAGCAACTTGAGAGTTCACCTGCTCCAAGCATATCCCACTCCAGGGGAGAGGCTGGGCACAGCCTGCTGTGGTCCAGGACAGCTCAAAGGGTCTCACTTAGGACAACTGTTTATAGGGCTGCAGACGAGTTGGCTTTAGTCATAGTAATTTTCCACCCTGGCCACAATGAGAGTCAGTAACTTTCTTTGAAAGTCTGATAATAAAATGTTGTTCCACTCAAGTTGTTATTCAGTCTTGAAAACTAATTTTCCAAGGCTATTCTTTGAAAAACAGGAGCTGACAGAGTTTCTGATAAGTGCAAGAGCTTAGTCAGGTGCTGTTCATCAAGGCCGAGGCTTAATGGGTGTTTTTGAGATGACAGTGCAGCCCAAGGAGTGGGGGAGGATGTACCACCACAGAAGGCAACCTTGAAGATAAACTCCAAAGGTGTTTCTGTCTACATTCTCTGAAATGATAACCACCAACAGCTGTCACCACTCTGAAATCCTCTGTATAAATCATCAGAAGATATCCTCTCCATTAACAGTGGTGAATATTCAAATTAGCAAGCAATACCAGTCATAATCCACTGAAGGGAGAAGGATCACCACAAGGACAATTGGTTTCTGTGTGTCTTTTCTACACAGCACGCAGTTCTCAGCCATTTTCAGCCTGTGGTTACTCATTGTGGATGAGCAGGTTGGCTGCTGCTGCTTTTTGAGGTTCTGTGCCACTATAAAATGGACCAATGTAATTTTACAAATGCAGAGGAAAAGCAGGGACAAAATAGTGTATCTTATGCTATGCATTTAAAACATAAAAACATAACAAAGCAAAAGTAGCTTAAGAGAGCATTTTAGAGCTGTCATAAGGGATAAGGAGAAAGTCAGAAATTAGCTACATCCCTCATTAGCTTATGCCTACCTGACAAAGATTCTACTGGCCTTTTCTCTTACTTTTGTAAGAAAGAGCTGTATTGGAGAAAAGAATTTGATGATTCTGGGATGTTTAGTGTCTTGTTAAATATAACATGCTGAGCATACTTGTTTGAGAAAGTCTGTGGCTGCCTTAGCTTGTGGTCTACAATCATCTTACAATGATTAAACTGCAAAAAATATGGTATTATCTAAAGGTTTATCAATTGGAATTTAATTCCACTGCAAACTCTGCCATTAAAAGATATCGAAATTACTACTGTTAAAACAGCCACCATCAATCTGCATTAGTGACTGAACTTAAGACCATCTGCTCCTGGGGCTATAACCCCAAAGAAGTCATAGACAGGAAAAACCACAAACAGTTTCCTGATATCCAGGACCTAGGGCTTTTTGCCAGGACAAGTGCTTGTGAACAAGACACTCAGAAGAGATACCCCATTGATCACTCAAGTTGTGTTACCAGAATTCTGTAGAGATGACTGTTTCCACCACTATTCAGGTTTCAGTTTGCAGTTATTCTAAATCTGGTCCTGTACTTGCAATGCAGTTAAGTGATACTCAGAACAGGCCATGTTACTCCAGTCTTCACACAGACAGCACTTTTTTCCACCTGTCAGCTTGGACTTTCCCCCACCTCCCTGTAGCAGGACTCTTCCAATCTCTCCTGCTCTGATTCAAACCTGGGAATAACAAGGTAAAATACGAGAAGCAGCAAGATTTCAAATTACTTATGGTGAAAAAACTATTAATAATTCCAAGTTGTTTTATTTTCCAGTATTTGTCTGGAGTAATTTTTAGATTCCATTGCTAATATGCAGCTATGGTATTATATAGTTTGTTTCCTTATTTTTACATAGCAAGTCAGTGATGTTGAAATGCGTGCATTTCTAAAAGACCCGTTCAGGAGTTGTGACTGTACAGATCAGACATCCTGTGTTGTTTTTGACATCCTGTGACGTTTTCTTCACGGAGCTCTTGGCTTAAAGAAGCGCTCGGGCGAGGCGGCCCCGGAGGGGCGGCGGGCCCGGGCGGGCCCAGCCCCAGCCCGCGGCGGCGGCTCCGGCAGCGGCGGGGCTCGGCTCGCACACAGAGCTCGGGCTGCTTCTGCTTCCCAAATCGTTACCTTCTCTCTGCTACACTGCGACGCAGGAAACCTTCACCCCCATCGTGCCTAAAATTCAGGGCTCATTCCAAAGTGGAACTCACGATCGGCTTTAGTATCTGTGCAAACTCTGCTGTACGTATGACAATGGTAATAAGCTAAAATAAAGACTAAGCTGAAAACAGCTTATCTGCTGCCTGACCACAGAAGAAATTGGCAAGTGGTTGGGCTCATACTTCCTCTTTTTTTTTTCTTTCTTTCTTTTTTTTTTTTTTTTCTTCAGGTTACAAAGAGGGATCTCATTGGCTCATCTGAACTCACTGCTAAATAAGCAAGTTTTTACTCCTTTTTTATCTGCTTGTCACACCTGCAAAAGTAAGACCATGTACATAAGGCCACTGCTTTCAAATTTAAATGTCACAAGTTGTGAATGTCAATTTGTAGTGAATGGCACAGTAATGCAGCAGCTACTGAAATTTACCCTGAAGTACAATGTAATTTTTTTCCTCATTGCAGCATTATGGGATAGGATTTGGGGATTCAATTAGTAGGAAGTGTATTAGCATTTATTTTAAAATAACTTCTAGCTTCACAGATCTATATCAAAGCTAAAAGCAAACATACCCTGTAAAGTTAAACATTAAAAGGCAAGTGAACACCAGGTTTGCTTTCCTTCAGTTTTATAATCATTTAAAAGCTGACAATTAATTTTCTGGTGTGCATTTCGTACTTATGTGTGCATTCATGATCTCTTGGAGTTGACAATGCTGGAAAAACTTTCAATTAAAAATTATTCTAGTTTTTCGGATTTCTATGTCTAGGTAACCTCTGTCAAAATAAATCCCCAAGGATTTAATTAGCTTTACCTTACTTCAAAAGGCAACCTCTAGACTTTCCAGAGCATACAGTGAACGTAAGGAAGCAAGAAGTGAGAAAATACACATGTCCTTTCCTCATGTATAGCAATTTTAGTGGTCCTACAAGAACAATGTATCAGCATTGTTAGATCAAGAACTCATTGCTTTAAATACATAAACAAAAAGAATTTGTGTTCCTATTTTTTGATATATTTCAGAATTCAACAGTAAAAGGGACAAATTCACCAAAAAAAGGTAGTTCACTAAAATTGTAATAAAACTTCATTGGTCTAAATGTAATGAGTAAAGAAAAAATAGTGTACATCTTTTCAGATATTAAAACCTATTCTGAAACTTGATTCTGCAAGTTGATTTGCCATTTGGAAAGACTGTTAAGTGGAACTTACTTTACTGCTGTTACTTGCCTATCTAATAATAGTTACCTTCAGATAGATCCATTGTACTCTTTGTAATCATAATTTTTCTCTGCCAGTGAAAGTAGGTTTTCATTTATTTTAAAATAAATCCTGGTTTAGATTTAATTTGGCAAACCTGCAGTATTCTCACATTCCAAATTGTACTGTCTTCTGCTTGATCTTGTTTCATAGCCAGCTTCATAGTAGTAAGGTCATAATAACAAGAATATGAAAATTGTTAAAGAATTTAAGCAGGTCGACTTCCCTTAAGTTCCAGTCAGTGTTGTAAAAACACTTTGTGCAGGAGTATCCAAGATTTTCTTCTTTTTACAGTCCTGATGATCTTAATTTCTTAGAACATGGAAAGTTAAAATTTTACATGTAAGACCTACCTCAGCAAACTAAATAGCTGCTGTGTCAATAATGTTTGCCATGTGGTGAGTAATTGCACCAAGTCTTTGCCTCTTGAATAGCTTGGTTTGCAGCTCTTTGTTTCACTGACCATAAACCACAGGGTTAAAACATAGTGCAAATAACAAAGTAAGAAAGGTTGTAAAACAGTGCTTTTATGGTGTCTTCCAATAGGTGTCATAAGAAGTAGTAGAAGGTGCAAATACAGTTGCAGTCCATGCATAATGATAGTTTTTCTGGGCTTTTTATTTTATATATTTGAATAGCCATCATGTTTTTCTTCTCTGCAGAAGAGGCAGTAGTCAATTACAATGATGATTATATAAACTACAATTAAAACAATTCTAGCTGCTCTGACAAAAGTAGCTTCAGGCAGAGTTGGGCATGAGGTTCTGTTTTGAGTATACCTTGAGGTGTTTCTTTTCTGCCTTCTGGAAGTAATAGGCAAATAGCTTTAAGCTTTGTTATAATCCAAGCACAAATGATGATTCACTGAGTGCACTGTGGTAAATACTGCAGAGATCAGTATATGCAGCAAGATACTGGTGAAGTGCCATCAAAACAAGAGGCCTTCTGCCACTTGATCCTTGTACTCCAAACATTGTCCATGTTACAACTTCTGGAGGTATTACATTAAGTACTTGTACTGTTTAACAGATTGCACCATGGTCACAGAGGAGGGAACAACAGAACAGGTGATGGCACAGGAGAAAATACTGCACTTATTTCTTCATTTGAAAGCATTCTCAAACTATCTCTGGTATTAGCAACCTAAATGAAATAATAACAATGTAATCATCTGTTTAAAGGAATGGTTTAGTACATTTTCTATATGCACTGATACTGAGCATTTTCCCTCAGATGAATTACTAAACATGTTCATGATGTTTAAAGGGAGCTCCCAGGTCCTGTAAAAAAAAGAAAAACCCAAAGGTATCATAATTTGTACATGTAGCTTGATGCTATTTTTTACCACAACCAAGTATTAAGCATGCTTAGCAGCTATTTACAATAAGACAAGCTTTCCTGCACACAAGTAGCTGATTTTGCTGCAACATGTAATATATTGGTTTTCATGGCTGAAAGAGTATCATACTAGAACCTCTAAAGCATGTCTTTAACTTTCTCCTTTTGATGGCCATTAAATGAGAAAGTACGAAAATGAAAAGTGTCCTTATAATAAGGATTGTTTGCAAAGCATTTTGATAGGTAAATTGATTCACAGAGTCTTGGAATGGATACAGTTGGAAGGCACCTCAGCAGGCCATCTGGTCCCACCTCCCTGCTCTAGCTGGTTCATCCCAGAGCACATGGCACAGAATTACATCTCGATGGTTGTGGAATATCTCCAGTGAGGGAGACTCCACACCCTCTCTGGGCATTCTATTCCAGTGCATGGTCTCCTGCACAGTAAAGTTCTTCCTCATGTTCACATGGAACTTCCTGGGTATCAGTTTCTGCCCGTTGCATCTTGTGCTATTGCTCAGCACCTCTGGTCCTTCCCCTGAGCAGAGCCTGGTCCTTCCTCTGAGCCCTCCCTGCAGACTTGTGTACACGGGTGAGGTCCCCTCTGAGTCATCTCTTCCTGAGGCTGAGCAGGCCCAGCTCCCTCAGCCTTGCTCAGAAGAGAGATGCTCCAGCCCCTTCATCATCTTTGCAGCCTCTGCTGGACCTGCTCCAGGAGCTCCATGTCTCTCTTGTGCTGAGGAGCCCAGAACTGGACACAGCACTCCAGATGTGCCTCACCAGGGCTGAGTCAAGGGGCAGGATCACTTCCCTTGAGTTGCTAGAAATGCTCTTCCTAGTGCACCCTAGAATCTCATTGCCATCTTGGCCACAAGGGCTCACTTCTGGCTCATGGACAGTTTGTTGTCTTCCAGGACCCCAAGTCCTTCTATACAGAGCCACTTTCCAGCAGGCTGGCTCCCACCTTGCTCAGTGCCAGGGGTTATTCTTCTCCAGGTGTAGGATCCTGCATTTGCCCTTGTTGAACACCAGATGGTCCTCTGCCTACCTCTTCATCTCCAACCTGTCAAGGTTCTTCTGAATGGCTGCACAAGACTCTGGCCATTCCTCCCAGCTTTGTGTCATCAGTGAACATGCTGAGGAGGCATCTATCCAAGTCATTGATGAATAACTAAACAATACTGTCAATAAGTTAAACAATACTGGGTCCTGCATCGAACCTTGGGGGACACCACTAGTGCCAGGCCTCCAACTAGACCCTGTGCCACTGATTACGGCTGTCTGACATCTGCTATTTAACCAGTTCTCAATTCATTTCATGCTATTTCATGGGGCAAAGCAAGAACAAATGAAGAGATTAAGCTGCTCACCAAGCCCTCCTGATGGTCTCTCAACTGGCAAGACGGGTAGTGCAGAGAAATAACTTGCAACACAATAACTCTAATGTCTAAAATATATCAGCCTACAAAAGTACTCCAGAATCTTTCACAAGTAGAATTACATTTAGTAGAAAAACAAGGTATATTCCTGATTGTATCTATCTCCACTTAGTATGACATAATCTGTGCTGAATGTTTGCTTTCAACTATCCAAACAGATGTCAGTTCTGAACAGTATTTGAAGTAAAATTTTAGTCAGCAGGATATGATTTTTTATTTAAAGACAAATTGAATTTGCCAGTTGTCACTAGCAAATTAAAAAACTCACATATAAAAAAAATTTAAGTATAAATATTATGTACGCAAAATCTCTGGAACTATTCTATTGTATCAGTTCTCCATTAAAGTTTAGCTGTCTCAGGAACTTGTATTTCTGATATTTCAATGTCTCCCCAACATCTAATATTTTCATATTTTTATATAAATGCAGAATCTTTTAAATGTGGTCTTAAATGCTGAGTTTACTTGAGGTAACTTTTAATTTATTTTTATGTGATTTTCAGACATCTTTAGATGCTCCCTGCATTTAACTAAAGTACACATTACTTCAAAGACGAAATGTAATACTTGAGAACAGAGACAAGCACCCAAAAAAACCCCAAAACGAAAGAAGATATTTCAGAGGCAAGGAGGGTGCTGTAAATAATCTATAGAGTCTCAGGTTTGTCTGTGTGACCATCAATTAAGAAAGTACTTATGTACACAAATACTGCAGTTTAAGCACTTCCAAAGCAGTTGGGTAATTTCAGAGCATAAGTCCTTTTTTCAAAAGTCATATAACAGCCTTGGTGGAAGCTTTCACTTTGCTCATGGCCAGCTGTCACTCAGCTGTTAGCCATAGGATTCCTCCTGACAAAGTGTCCAGGCTGCTTTGGAGAGCCTGGTGACCTCATTTTTATTACACCAAAAACCAGCCTGTGCTGGGCTGTTGGGTAACAGCAAGCCACAATGAAGGTACTACATATCATTTCTTAATTTGTCTTAGCAAAACCCTAGAGCAGATTTTCCATAGTTCACCTACAGTCATCTTCTTCCAGAATACTTCTGAATACAAACAACATATGGATGGGGGAGAGTCAGTATCTTACTGACTCTGCACGGTTCAAAAAGGTGACAGAGTCTCCATGGACATGTGTAGCCTTTGAGCACATGGAGAAGAAATAAGCATTTAAAATTATTACATGGGCTGCAAAAAGTCTGTGGAAAAATACAGAGTATATGAAGTTTATTTTTATGAAAGTGTCAGACACAGGTATTGCATGTGTACAAACTTTACATAAAAGAGAGAAATGCTATTATTTTTCTTTTGTTTAAACAAAAGGGGCCAGTGACTGCAGCTTCCCTCCAAGGGCCTGAATCACCACTTCCTGTCAGCTTGTTAGCACTAACACATCACTTCAGAGCTCCAGCTCCAAAGCTTTAAACTGCTGCACACAGGCCAGCTTCTGTTTGTACAGTGCAGTCACTGAGCTGCAGTTCAGCAGTGTCAATAATGGTGTCTGGAGCTATTTTTGAAGTGCACTGCATTATCATGAATCAGCCTTCTGGTCTCCTACTGTAATCTGTTTAGCAAATGGCGCATTTAGCTACTTCAGCCACTTTATATATATATATATATATGCATGGTAGGCACTCAGTCTTCCATTTATTGTGCAGAATGATGAACTCATTGAAAGGATGCATTAAATAAGCAGAAAACTGTTATTGGTTTTGTTAGAATTCTCAGAATAGACATTGTAGAATTAAATGTAGAATTAAACCACTGAGTCCTGTGGTTGTCAGGGGCTCTAGAAAGTCAATTTTATATGTGCATAAACAAGGACAGCTTTGCTTAGTCATTCCCCTATCAGTGGTTGTTTCCTATGTATGGGCAAAAAATAACGTGCTTAAAGGGTCTTCTCTGCAGTTTAGATCTGTATGCTGATTAAGGTTAGTGTGCAAGATGTGGTAAAATTTCAATTTATGAATTTTTACAGTTCTTGTAACAGAGTCATGGGGCCTGTTCACTTAAGTCTTTACTCACAACACATTGAAGTCTTCATCTTTCAGATTTTCCAATATTACAAAAGCTTAAAGAATGTTTGATAGGAAGTGAAGATTGTTTGTACATCAGCAATGTTTCTACATGGAGCTAAAGTTTCATTTTAAAAGCACCACAGACTTAGAGTTTTTATTTAGACTGCATGGAAGAAAAATTCTTTCATTTTAGCATTTACACAAAATAATAAACCCACAATATATCAGTTGTATTATTTCAGGCACTGCCCATGGACATTACAATGATAATATATTGATAAATAAATTAGCAGACATTTAAAGGAAATCAAAATCAGATTGCCACTCTAACATGTCTTATACTATCTTCTATCATTGCTACATTCATTATCTTTCAAAACTCCAAGCTATTTTTGACTAAATATTTATAGAAATATTTAATAATCTGAAAGCAGTATTTTGTCACTGCTAAAACAAAAGGATTTTTAATACTTAAATATTTAGTGATTGAAGTGGTCTGGTAATGTAAATCAAAAAGAATACACACCCAGCAGAAGTAAACTCCCCCTGATCAAGAGGGGCAGTTGGATCTGGCATCCAGGACCTCGTGTTCACCAGCTGCTCAGGCTGTGCCCTGGTGTCCCTGTCTCAGGAGCCTGGCTGGCCCATCCTGCAGCCAGGGCTGCTGCTGTGTGGCATTCAGCAGGTGGTAGCTGTGACAGCACTGACTCTGCACTGTCTGCTGGCAGTGCCTAAAACATGGCAGCTCCAGGGTGTCACATGCCTCAACCCCTTTGTACTCCAGAAGAATGAGGGTCTCCTTATTCTCACAGCCCCATCCCATCCAATAGCCCCGTATGGAAGTCTTAGGTAACTCAGGGCGTTTTAAAATGCACTAGAAGCCTCCATTGAGGAAATTGAATTTCACCTCAAATATCACCGCATGAGCAGCCTGCTGCTCTGATTCTGGCCTGCTTCTAACTGTAATCCTGATATAAGAGAGACTTCAAGGAAAAATGTGGATTACAGTGTGAGATGCTAGGAAGGCATCACTTGCTAACAGGTCAGACTGATGTTCAGATAAGGTATTTCTAAACTGTCTGTAACACCACAAAGCTGACTGAATCTATTCTGAAAAAAATATCCACATGATGACAGAAAATTATGTGCAATTCTAGCTAAAATAATGGGCTCTCTTCCACTGAAGCCAAAGGGTACTGCTAGTTTCGATTGGACAGGACTGGTTTAAGGTGGAAGTGTGGGAACTGATGCTGAATGCTTTCTAGTGTGTTGCAGTTTTATTCAGACTCATGAGAAAGAATGTTGTTAGCTATAGGTGAAATGTTAAGAAGATAGGACATATTCAAATGTATTTTGATTTTGTACCAATAATCTATTCCAAAATTTAAGAAATATCATTTGGAGAAATTTTGCAATACAAAAAGAGTATAGGAACATGGGGAACTTAAAGGATGAGAATGATGAACTAAAAAGAATTCAGAAGTAGGAAAATTTTATAAGTTTGAACTGAGGCAATATTTAGAGACATATATGACTCAAATCTTAGTGTACAGCCTCACTGAATAATATCAAGATTTTCAAATATGTCTTGCAGAGTTTAAATATGAAAGCGTATTTTCTAGAAATAGTTTTTTCTTACTACTGAGAAGAATAATCTGGTGTATCCCCACTTTTTTGATGTTTAACTACTGGGTATAGTTTTATTCTTTGAGTGTAACACAACATGTAGTCTTAAATACATCCCTTTACTGATAAGAGTTTCATGTAAGGAACACCCAGACTTTTATTTGGAAAAGACAAATTTTAAACACAGATAAAACATCCATTTCAGCAGTACACTCATGCCTATCAAACCCTGATAATTAAAGGAATATTATGTAACTTGACTGTGTCTTCAAAGAAAGTTAACTTACCTTGTATTTTGTCTTTGTTCAAATTGGAATACTTTTTGCATGTTTCCTTCTCTGTGTTGCTAAAACATTGTACATTGTAAAAGAAGAAGCAAGAGAAATTAAAGAAAATCAAAAATAGAGAAGTTACTTGGAAACCAAAATGTCTACAATGTCATTATATACTCAGAATGTGAGTCATTCTAGAGGCATTTACAGTTTTTTACGCCATCAAAGACTCAAAAAGTAATAGCAAGAGATATAAATATTGTAATAAATACAATAAACTCACAGCAACCATAGATTTAATGTGGCCTAAAATTTTACAGAAACATAAAAAGTAGCAAATCTCAGCTCCCCTTACTTAGAATGTAATTCTCCTAATTAATTAGCTGTGGTAAAGAGAATACCTGTTAATAGCCTAAGACATATGGTGCACAATTTAGCTGCTCTGATTCACAGAAAAAGGAACATATATCGTCATTGTCTTTTTGTTGTTGTTATTTGGAATGATATTTTATCACTGTTATTTTATTATCACTGATATTTATCATCACTGTTATTTATGATCACTGATATTTTATTCTTTGGGTTCTCAACATGTTTTCTAGCATTCCTCTCTGAAAGCATTACAAAAATCCTTCTTCCACTCAGGTAAAATAGGAAGAAAAGTTAAGATCTTTTGATGTTTTTCTTGAGGCATGAACTGTACAAACTATTTAATTGCATGTAGGTCACTTCAGCCAACTTAAACAGCTCAAAGGCAAGACTTCAAAATTGTTTCAAATTTTTTAAAGAAATGCCTAAAAATATTTCAGAAATAAAATATTTTAAAATGCTTTAATAATGGAATATTAGAAGCAATATGAGAAATAGGGACTATAATAGCCCACAGGAAATAGATTGATTCTTATGAAAACAATACCTGGTAAGTATAGACGAGCAAGATGAAGGGTGTGATTGAGAGAACATCCCTCCTTCTGCATCAGCACTACCCATTCTCACTGCTTATTACTCAATTCTGCATCTCAGATTGAATCACTGCTGTTTTTATGGAGTCCTATAGTCTTCCAGACCAGGGAGGGTCAAGAGAGCATCTTCAATGTGCTGTAGAAATAAATACATATAAATAATTATGTAACTGAAAAATGAACTCACCTTTAATGAAAAATCATTCCTGGGACTCTCTTCTTCACTTTTGAGTATCTCTAATGTATATTAATTAACTAATTCACTTATATAGTGAATTTTAACTGTGGAAACAAAACATAAGTGGCCTGGAAAAATGGGTTAACCAATCAAAAACCCTTCATGTTTTTCATGCAAATTTTGGTCCCAAGCCTTAGAATGACAACCGCCTTTCCCCTAAACTAGCTGTCAATAATTCCTAAATAGGTATCCTAGGTAGAAAACAGTAGCAACCAGGGATATCTGCACCAGTACATTTTGTGTAATGGCACTGGGAAAAACATGTCTCCCATCTTCTCTGACTTGTCCGTGAAAGCTCCTCCTTTCCTCCAACCACCAGAAATTAGCAGGCAGAATTTCCTTTGGCTGGTTCTTCATATTGAGTGTACCTTGTGGCTGTCTCCATGCACAAGTATCTACTGAATCAGACTGACATAGCTACAACCCACTGCATTTTGTTGATACTTCTCAGACAGGGCTTGTGACTTAGAAGAGGCTGCAACATGCTTTCAGCAAGACCACAGTGGGCTTGCAGGCTTTGGGCCTTTTTTTTAATATATATAACTTCATGAACTAGAGGTAATAAAATTATTCTGATTCTATAGAACGCATAGAGATGGATAGAACACATCTTAGAAGCTGTATTATTGCTAGTTCTGAGGGAAAAAACCAAGTAGACAATATGCTGCTTATGGCCAGCAGAGAGGATGGGGGCCCTGCTCTGTCATGTTATTGTCCAACTGAAGCTTCTCAGGGTACCATTACAACAGGCCAAGCTCTCTGGGTGACAGTGAGCTAAGACTGCCGATCTGGTAAGGAGAGCTGCAGCAACACACAGTTATCTTTCAACTAACATCCTACAAACAGCAGCTGCCAACAGCAAATTAGTTGATGGCTCTGTGCTGAGGCAGTGAGCAGGGCTTTTCACAGCACAGCCCATTTGGGGTGTGCTGTAATTGGGGTTCGGTAGGTGTGCGGCAAATTCAGGAAGTGCAATTTGCACCTCTTTGCGCCAGAAACAGAATGAGTCAGATCCTTGAAGCTTCAATTTCAGCTTTGCTGCTGCCTTCTCATTGTTCTGACTAATACAGTGATTTTATACCCAGCTAAGTATGGTAAAAGTCAGCTGCATGGCCTCTAGGTTAGAGTCAGCTCATGCTGGCGTCAAAGCTAAAAGACTCCCACAGATTTCAGGGGAGCAGCTGCAGGCCACTCCAGGTACCTGTAAGCAAAATTATTAACTACATGAGAAACACACAAATAAGATACATTTAACAGCACAACACACCGCATCAGAAGTCATTAGCATCTCAATGCTTAGGTGTCAAATTTGAAACACCTGAAAGAGGCCAGAGGTTCAGAAAGAACAAAGCAGATGGACATAAGACCTCTAACATATTAAAAGCCAAGAAACTTAAAATAGGCAGCAACTTTAAATGCAAATCTAGCTCTCTAAACATATGAAAAAAAGGCCTAGAAAAATGCCCTGTATGGTTTTGGCCCCAGATGTCCCAAATTACTGCACGTCCCAAATGCACTATGCTGTGAAAAGTCCTGCCCACTGCCTCAGCACATACTTGTCTAACACTGCAGGATCAGTGTCCTGTGTTAACTTGGTATGACCTTGGTCCTGGGCAATACTGAAACCTCTCTCTTTCACAAGACTTTATATATACACACTGGCACTTTTCATGGTCAGTGCACACATTTACAGAATACAGGCTTCTTTCCAATTTATTTAATTACTTACTATAATTAAAGTATTTCAAAAACCATTTCTTACTAATGGGTACAATGTTTTTTCCTTCTGTTTATAAATTAACTTTAGTAATTTGTGACGAACACAGAGGGTGAAATGACTTAAAATAATGTAAAATTGGAAAGATTTAGTAACAAGTTTTATTTCCCTGCATTCTCCCATTGGAACCATGACTTGGCAATGCATTTGATAACTGTTTTTCCTTTTGATCTTGTGCAAGCCAAAACCTTAGTCTGACAAAGTATATTGTGAGAGCAGTTATCTAAAACTGCCTGGAGCTCTGGCAGAATCAGGCCAAGGGCCTTGATGCTAACCCTGCAAAAAGTAATTGGGGTTTGCAGTTGGCTATTGGCAAAGTAAGATTAGATTTGGTTCTGTAAGGCTGTTGTAACTCCAGAAAATGAAGACATCACCATTTAGTAGTGTTCGTAGTTAGCCCACAACATTTTTTTCTTAAAAGGTGAGGATAAGGTCAGTGGTGAGACCCAGCTTCTCCACCTCTCCAGAGGAACTGCACGAAGAGACACCAGGGTAATTTGACACAGAGGTCAGACTTTCTATGTACTTGCTGTACAGTATTCTCTAGTCTCAGAATAGTGCAGCTGACAGCTAGGATCCCTCCTTTCTAACAGATGTCAGGTGTATTTCAGTAAATATCGAAACCATGGATAGCTTTCTGAGCCTGATGTGAAAACAGAGATTCTAAGATTTCCTGTATGCGATTTATAACCTCCTTAGAGGCCCAGATGATCAGCCTTGCCTGCCTATCAAGCGCTACTCGCTTTTTGGGTCAAAGAGGCATCAAAATGGGGTCAGAGGACGAGCTCATTATTTCCTCTCTTCTCGGCAGTCTGCTCCCAATGCTTCTTGGCTCCTCTGTGACGAACGTGGCATTGTTTGTGAAACAATGTCATGTTTTAATGATTTGCAAAGTACTATGAATCGTGCATATTAAAGATACTCAGAAAGCATTAACAGCTGTTATTTAGTGCAGCAAAGTTTTATAGAATTTCAAGGATATAGACTAGTTATGTGTTGAACAATACGCCCCCATTATAGCGGGCCTAATTAAATAGCCCATCAAGACTTCAATAAATTGGCAATAGCGTGAGTGAAATTAATACAGGATTCAAAAATATTTTTAATCTAATTTGCTACATCTGACGGAGCAGTATTTTCAGATGGATCTTAGTTAAAGTACATAAAATAAATATTAAAAAACCTCAATGTATACTTGCCAAATAATTAAACTTTCAGAACCCACAAGGGGTCTGACCCCAGCGTGACCCGCTGCCACTGTGCTGGCGCTACCGGCGTCATTCCCGGCCGGCACCGCCGGGAGCGCCTGCCCGGGGTGTCCCATCCCGGTGTCCGCAGGGTTCCACAGGTGTCCCATCAGCACCTGCGGAACCCTGCGGAGCCGCGGCTGCTGCCGGCCCGGGCGCGGCCGGCTCCCGGCGCAGCTCCGCGCGGCGCGGCCGGAGCCGCCCGTGCCGCGGCGCCCCGGCGGCAGCCCCGCCTCAGGCGGCCCGGCCGCCGCCGCACGGCGCCCCCTGGCGTGGCGGGCCCGCCGCGGCGCCCCCGGGCCCGCGCCCTGAGGGAGCGGCGGGCCCAGCGCGGGATGGGGCGAGCGCGGCCCCGCAGAGCACCGCCTCACACCCGCGTGGCCGGGAAAGGGCGGCGGAACATTGTTATTTTTAGGGACACTAAAACGTTGTGGTCACTGCCCCTTGCAGGAAGCCTTATTAAAAACTAATTATTGGTCCTCATTAGAGCCGCATTACAGTTCTGTTAAGAAATACATGAAAAGATAAAAAGTGGCAGAAAAGTCCGGCCATTAAGAATATAAGCTGAATAAACTTTCCATTTGTGAATAAAACCTTCAGAAGAGGGTCTGCAATATTTAACCTAAAAGGTAGTGCACCTGGTTGACAGAAATCATCATCATCCCAGTGTCAGGAGCATATTAACATTTCAGACTACAAACAAGAACTGCTTCTAAAATTATTGTAGAGGTTAACAATAATTTCCATCTTTAACAGATAATAAAGTCGTAGTAAAATAATATTTGATTTTTTTATTAAAGCAACTCTGCAGACGACCAGCTGATTTGGACTAAAGAACATTTACTAGTTTGTTTTTTGTGTTGCAGCCGCCGGAACAGCAGGACCAGCACTCCAAAATCTGCCTGGCCACTGGCAGCACCAGCCACTGGAGCTCGAGACCATTTTGGAACCAGGGCGCAGTGAACAGCTGGCTCGAATGAACGCCTGGGAGCCCACACCCTCTCTGTTCCTCAAATAACAATGTTTGTTGCATTCTTATTACACTGAAAGGAAAGCAATAAGCATTTGGGAAAACCACATCTACAGGCTGGTGTGTGGGAGGACATTACGATGTTATCCTGTGCAGCAATCTCTTACTTCTCTCTCTACATTTGATAATAAAAACAATGGTTGAACAAATGTCCCTTTCACACTTTGCTCCTCTGCTTTTTGTTCTCCGTCACCCTCCCTAAAACAACACAAACTGAGCCGGTAATAGTTTGTCAGATTCCAGACTCTGGAATGCATTTTCATCAGCCCATTTCTATCTGAACGGAAGCGCAGAGCTGCTGCAGCAGCCACAAAAGCACGAGAGGTCCCATACATCCCTGTGGCTCCTCTCACGCTGGGAGAATTATGGCTACGGATAGGAGTCCATACTGACATCTCTGCCATCTCTCCCGTGTCATCTCCCTGCACACCGTTCCGTCCCCCTCTCTCTGTGCTACTTAAAGCAATTACAACTCGAGTGACTCAATACACCACAATCTTGGAGTCACTCCCCCATACAAGAAAATAAAAGCTCTCCCTCTTTTCTACGAGATCAACTTTCTGCTGATATTTGAGTGAGATGGTGCCAACCCAGACAGAACTGTCATCCAACACTTCTTCTCAAGTAGCTTTTTACCCCTTTGTGACTTGGTAGGAACAACAAATACACAAACTCAAATGAAATGGAACTGGAATGCTCCCAGTGACACAGTGGCAGACAGTGACTTGCAGGTGGGAAAGCGCCTCTCCCTGGAAGATGAAGACTCTGAAGTTACCTACATGTGCATCGTCTTTCAGATTCCCTTGAGCTGACAGCTCCCCCACCTACCTGTAGGAAGTTTTATATGGCAACAATGAAGGGAAAGAAAAGTACTAATAGAGAAAGTGAGATAACAAAAGCATAACATAGAAAAATACACTAAAAAGAAGCTCAGCAGCAGAATTAGAAATAAAACTTTCCCTGAAAACAGCAACAGGAATCTAGCCAAGAAGCAATGGTCTTGGTATACTTTGGAAACTAGAAGTAGAATAATTGGAAGCATATCTTATTTAATCAGTAATACATAAGGAATATTTTCTAGCGTCCTAACTATGGATTTAGTCCTATAAATCTTTACTTGCGTAAGAAGTTTGTACATGCAATGAGTACTAAATACTTGGAAGATGTTTATGCCATGCTTTAAAAATTTGTTTATTAGGAGACTGAAACAAAGAAGTAGATTGTAGCATCTCATTACGAAAAAGAGGATACACATCACATCCAAGTAATGTGGCACTCTCCTTCTTTTAAGGTGAACACCACAAATGCTGAAAACATTTGGATTAAAATAAAAAGTTTATAATTTAAGTGCATGTTTTTTACACTGAGGATCCTTCTAGCAAATACCAATAAGCAAGCTGGTCCTGTTCAGCATGTTGTATTGTACTTCTGAGATCGAGCTATTTATAATCTTTACTGCTTTATTGTTGTTTTAAATAGTGTGTAGATATATGTAAATATTCACACACATAAATATTTTACAATCCATATAATAATTTTAAAAACAGTGCACTTGCAGAAAAATATTAGCATGAAAACATATATTAAAATGCTAGTCATATAATATTTATGTTATACATTAAATACAAATTACCGTATATTTTTGTTCAGAAAAGCTTTCAAGTTCTGTCAGCATTATTTGATGGCTTACATATGGAAAAACGGAAAGAAAATTATTTTATTATCCTCCACTAGAGGGAGAGAGAGCAGCTCTTGTTGCTGGGCAGATTCTGCAAACACTTTCATTCTGCACCATTTAAAGCAATGATGTCAAGTTTTGGGGGGAAAAAACCCGAGCAATTTAGTTCATTATATTATCAAATACAAAGTAACTCCTAAAATACTGAAGACATGAAATCTAAAATTTCCTTGCTGCTAGGTTACTTTCTGGAATCAATACTACACCAACTTTATTTCTTTAGACATCTATGTTAACATATTTATTAAAACATCTGAAATAAATAGCAAAAGTAACAGAAATTATAATAGTTACTAATTTGATATCAAAACAAAATTACCTATATTGTATTTTCCATTCCGTATTGGATAAGGAACATTCCTGCAGGTAGTGCATCGTTTTCACTTCTTCCTTAGAAATCAAAGCATGATTTCTTCCACCCAAGAGGTCACCCTCTATCTCAGAAGCTCAGAGAAGTCTCACCTCCCCAGAGACAATTTGACAGCAACTTTTCAGACTGCCGATGTTTCCATTTCACCTAAATAACCTGATGATCCAGTCCATGATATCCACACAAGTGTCCGTCACTTTCAGTCCTCTGGACTTGTTGCCCTGCTGGTTTGCAGTCTGAGGTAGGGTAAGAAAACAAGAGCTGCTGTCTGTGTCACAGAACGGGTGGGACCTGCCCCAGCCCACAGAAACACGAGACACTTGGTTTAGCTCAGAGTACTGAGCAGGACCAAGTTTCTGATGCATTTGTAAGGTCATTTGGACAGTGGGCACAGGATGCACAGTACCTAAAGGACAGCCATGTAATCAAAAGCTGAAATGCTACTTTCATTTAAAATCCACTGCAGAAAGAGTACAGAAGAAAGGCTGGGAATGGTTAATATGTCAATTGTCAAAGTAATAATCTAGCACTGGAAGTTTAAGTGACCTTGAAAAGTTGTAAATATTTCTTTATATACTGTGACATGGACAAACTAAGCACAAGGCAACAACTGTTTGGTTTGTGTTCATATAGATTTCAAAGGAAGGCCTCTGTTTATGGTTCAAGAACATCAAAAACTTAACAAGGAAGCACAAACCAGACTGTAAAACAATGTTTGAATTTAATTCTGAAGTTTATAAAATGCTCACAGATAAAAAAATCCCATTAAATATATTTCTATTCTGCAGTCCTGTTTATATTTATTTAAGTTTTCTAAGGAACTAGAGGCAGGTTAATAATACATTCATTTTCTCTTTCTCTGTTTAAGGAAAATTGTAGTTATTGACAGTATGAGCACTATGGAGAGATTGAAAAAACCCCAGTGAAACAGGCAAATGATATGGGAACACTTACTGAGAAGGAAGGAATGGCTCTATCTTAGACACATAATGGCAGCTTTTGTACAAACAGCTCTGGCTGAGTTGTCACAGAGATCTCTGTTGCAGGATCTCTGGGATTTTTTGGCCTAATAGAGATCAGTCACACTCCAGCTCTCCAAAACAGCACATGCAGCTGTGGAGAGCAGGACAGCAGCAGAACACTCAGCACACCCTGGCAGCTTCACACAATGTGAGAATCCCTGGTTCAGGTACTGCTGCAGATGACCTTATGAGATATGAGCCACTAATGGCACACTGCAACTTAGCTGTGAGCTGAGGAAGTCACCTGCTGTAACTTGGCTGAAACATTTACAGCTTTCAATTCAATGGACGACAGTGTATGTGTCTCCTTCTGTCTCTAATCAGTGTTTACCTGCTCTGTTCTCATGAATTGGAACACCATTGCTGTTCTGGTGTTTAAAAAATACATTTTCTGGAAATATGCTACTTTGGGATTTTACCCAAATCAAGCTATTAAAATGTTGTGTTAGGATTTAATGAAATTTTCGATATTTCACAAACTGTTTATAAAGAATGTAATACTATGACAGTGGTGCTACAGCAAATAGAAACAGAAAGGAAGATAACACAGTTCAAATTAATCTCAGAAAAATTCAATATTTACAAAGAACAAATGCTGTTTTGTATTATGTTTTTAAAATGTTTAGAAATCAGAAGACATTTTTACCAAAATGTCTGTCAAGATAAGCATGAAGAAAACTACAGAACAAAGTTATATATTCTAAACTTTATGTGTAATCTGCAGCAACCCCAAATTTATTGGTTTGCACTAGACACATGCAAAACATTCAGTTCATACCCACTATAGTAAAACATTTCAAGAGGAAAAATTTAGAAAGCTACTGCACACAGATTAACACTGTGATTTGAATTCCATAAAGTCAAAGATAGCTTTGGTACCACTGAAATAAATACTTTAATTTATATTTACTAGTTCAGTGCTAATTTGACCTTGCAGGAATTTGCAGTTAATTTGGTATATTTGCAACCCACAACCAACTCATGCATTGCATTCTCTGAGATCTCTTACATGCCCAAGTCTGACCCAGAGGAAGTGACTGCAGTGCCAGTGTGAGTCATGTTGGAGGCCCCAAGCTCTCTGTCCTCACGGTACTTCAGATGTTCAGCCAGCTGCAACCACACCCTTAAGCTCACACGTTTTAAACCAGAAAAGCGAGATATCACCATGTGCAAAACATGTTAGTTACAATTGCAGTTAGGATTTTTCCTGATAAGATAGTTTATCTTCCTTCTCAATATGCGACTTCGATTGCTAAAGTAGAAAGCTGAAGTTAAATAACACCACATAAAGGGACTGTTTTATCGCCTCTTCTTTTGTTTTGTGAGCGAGTGTCATTCCTCCTGTGCTGTGACTTTCTGAATTAGGGAAATAACTATAATGAGTTGCAGAACAAACATTTTCCTGTGGATGTCTTTATCTATAATGTGGAAATGTAGGTTTGCTGGTGCTGCTGCCACTGAAGAACTTAAAAGTGTGTGGGTGGCAGCAGTTCAGTTCTGAAGCAGCAGTCACCATACATACTCCTACCCATACAATGTACCCTGCCAGCTCTTTAGACTTCTGCAACTCAGTATCCTGTAACTGCTCACTTCCTCCCTTCATTCTTGCTGCACTTATTGTGGAAGGATGAGCCTCCAACCTCTCATGTGAGGCAATACTCAATTTTGCTGTGAGAACTTCTAATATGAATCTTGACAAGTCACTGATAAAATAGCCTCTCCACTCTGAGGCAGGACTGTTACTACTCTGCAGCATCCCTAGCTGCTGAGAAACATTCTTTGGTTCTTTTAATACAGTCCAGGAAACTCACATTTTTCACCACATACACAGAGTGTTTTTTACACAACTTAATTGAAAGAGAGTAGCCTTAGATTAAATGGTGCAAAGAAATTCTTCCCTGAGGGTGGTGAGGCACGGGCAGAGGTTGCCCAGAAAGGCTGTGGCTGCATCATCCCTGAATGCTCAAGAAAGGCTGGATGGGGCTTTGAGCAACTCAGTCTAGTGAATGGTGTTTCTAACCACAGGAGGG